CTGGCTAGGATTAAACACATGCGTAGCTGTTATATTGTGCCACGAACTCGCCGGCTGCTAGCGCGAAGTGAAGAAAGCTTGCCGAGGAGCGGTGGACCGTTTTTAGGAAGAGAGAGGGGAGCCCGGGTGAGGGGTGTTGGAGGGGGGGATGGGGATGTGGAGGGGGAGGAAGGGAAGGGGGAGGAGTTGGAGGTGGTGGAGGTGGTGAAGTACAAGGTTGTGTTTTCGTCGAGGCCGGAGCCGGTGGGGAGTGAGGAGGTGGTTGCCTGAGGGATTGCTTACTGAGAAGGGAGGGAGGTGGGGTGGTTGGCTGGCTCTTGTGGGAGGGTGTTTGGGGTGGAGGTTGGGATGGGGGAGCTCTCTGCCTTGGTTGGGAAATGGGTCTGACTACGGGTCTTGCAGTTGGTAGCCGCGCTATCGCAGGAGCACGTGGGATGCGGGAGAGCTAGGCTGATCTAGGTCTGCATGTGATTAACTGGACCTGGGTGTCGGGGACAGGGGGCATGGGGCCATGGGGCCATGGAGCATGCAAGTCGATACAAATTACCTACTTATTACTAGTATCCGGGTGTGAATAGTGGATGGACAGTCGTACTATGTTGTTCTAGTTAGATGGTACTGTAACTGGTTTCGTCCTTCCTAGCCCTTCCTTGCCATAGTAATCCATCGGGTACGGGCCCTTCCCCCAGTCCTCCTTCTCCTCCAACGCTATCAACGCCTCGTACGGCGTTAGCAGCGGCCGCGAGAAGGCGTATCCCCAGTCGATGCTCAACCGTGGGCACGCCACCTGCACCCAGCAATCAACGTCGCTCATCATTGCCAGCTTGCCTGGGAAGATCTCGCTCAGCAGCAAGTTGACAAACGGGATATGCATCTTTTTCAACTTGGCTTCAATTAACGCCATCGTGTGCGGGTTCCCTTGCCGTCCTAATGAGCCTAGGATCAGTCCCCATTTGGCGGCCTTCTTGGCCGTTCGGATAGCGTCCCGCCGGATGTCCTGCATCTCGTTGTGCCCGTACGTTTCGTGCGTTAGCTTCCGGGAGTATGGGTCGTACCGGTAGGCCGGAATATCGGGGTTGTGGATCATGATGCTTTCTAGATGGAAGCGGCCATCGCCTAGGTACAGGATCAAATCCACGGGGCTGTCGGTGTATGTGGATAAGTTTGGTGAGGTGCAACCCAGAATCTCACCCTTGGAGAGCGGCGCAATCTGGGGTACAATAACCTTGAACCCAGCCTTCTCCAGCGTTGATCGAACGCCGTGAATTGTCGCGTTGAACTGTATTGTCCCGACCAGGGCAACCGTCTTCCCGGGGGCAAAGTTACGCTCGAGCGTGGCGAGCAGGTGCGATGTGTCAATGCTGATGTCGACGAAGACGTACAAGGTTTTGATCTTAGTAACATCCACCGGGATCAGACAGCTGTGTGCGTAGTGCACCAACAGGTCGCACCCCATTGCCCGCGCTGTATAGTCGTCTATACAGCACGCCCCATACGTGACGTCACCCATGATCAGGGTTTCAATCCCTGGGCAGAACTCAGTGAGAATGTCGGAGATCGTGGTCGCGAACAGGAGGAGGCCCTCGGGCATCTGTAAGGCCACCCGCTTGGCGCCTGATGAGCGGATTCGGTGGACAGTTTTAGGTATCTCAAAAGAGTAGTTCGCTGGGAGAAGGGATATCGCCGCCTTCAAGCCCTCGTCGTTCAATATTTCAGGAGGCACTTGGTTAAGCATTCTCGGTGTCCGCCGTGGCTGAGCAACTGCGCTGAGTATCAGTCATTGTTCCTGTTGTCACCGAAAAGCCAAGCCAGGTAGGTTCAAGTACCTTGAATAGCGCCGCTATCCTCGATCGAGCCGGCCCCTGGACTCGATTTCGCTGCCTCTCCCGCAGCCCGCCTCCCTACGAAACGCTTCCTGGGTTGTTTGACGGCATTCTCTTGCAGCTGTTTTTCTTCGATCTCGGCAGCAATCCCCAAGTCGGCCAAAACCCGGTCTTCCTCCATGGTATATTACGAATCCGGATCCCTGAGAATCCCTTGGTGAATGTTACTGTCCCACGGAGAATTGTGAAGGAGACAAGTTTGACCAGAGACCCCAGCAGTGGTGATTCGGTGAGTGATCTCTGCTAGTTGATTTAATGAAGTGTTGGCTTGCAAGAGGCGTAGGTATATCGAAAAAACTTCGTTTCCAAGCCGCCGATTCGTGAACTTTGAGCTTGAGATGCCCCTCCATCCATGAACCCCTCGGCCTTATCGCTCCAAGCTCGCTCCTTATCTGGCCCCCGTCTTGGCCAATATTTTCCAGGCAAGGCTGGGCGGGAAACTCCAGCACGTGCCCCAGTTCGTTCAAGGTGGGGCTCTCAATTTTCCAGCCAATCAATGCGCGCAGTAATTATGCCCTAAGATTTCTCCTGGTCTGGCGCTGCACACAAAACGTTCCTTCGATTTCTCCAGTCTCTGTCCGCATCATCAACGACGGCCGTTCAGCAAATACCGCCAACATGAAGGTAAGAGTTGCCCACTGCGATGCGCGATTCGAATGTCAACGAGATTCCCGCGATCTTGCAAAAAAAATTGGTTTCTGCGTCCTTGGCTTGACAATAATGCTGACCCGACCCCATAGCTGAACATTTCGCATCCTGCGAACGGCTCGCAGAAGCTGATCGAGGTGGAGGATGAGCGGAAGCTGAGGCACTTCTTCGAGTATGTGGCCTCCTTTTCGTCGACTTAGACGTGCCGAGCTAATCAAATTTTCACAGGAAGCGCGTATGTTCGATCGATACCCGCCGATTCTTTTCAATGATACTAACTCGGATTAGATGGGCGCTGAGGTCCCGGCCGACCCCCTTGGCGATGAGTGGAAGGGCTACATCGTCCGCATCACGGGCGGCAACGACAAACAGGGTTTCCCGATGAAGCAGGGTGTTATTGCCCCCAACCGTGTCCGCCTTCTCCTCGCCGACGGCCACTCCTGCTACCGCCCCCGCCGTACCGGTGAGCGCAAGCGCAAGTCCGTCCGCGGTTGCATCGTTGGCGCCGACCTCTCCGTCCTCGCTCTCGCCATTGTCAAGCAGGGCGAGCAGGACATCCCCGGCCTGACCGACACTGTTCACCCCAAGCGCCTCGGCCCCAAGCGCGCCACCAAGATCCGTCGGTTCTTCGGCCTCAGCAAGGATGACGATGTATGTGCTTCATGCCTATATCCCGTCATCGCCTACCCTAGAACTGCGTCGATTTCGATCGCGCAGTTCGGGTAGAGTCTGAGTGCAACAATTGGAGGCTAATACGATATTCTCGGAATACTAGGTCCGCAAGTACGTCATTCGGCGTGAGGTCCAGCCCAAGGGCGAGGGCAAGAAGGCCTACACCAAGGCTCCTCGCATCCAGCGCCTGGTCACCCCCCAGCGCCTGCAGCACAAGCGCCACCGCATTGCGCTCAAGCGCCGCCAGACCGAGAAGGTCAAGGATGAGGCGGTACGTTGAAATATTTCTAGTTGGAGTGCACTGGGGCGCTGACCATTTTGCAGAACGAGTATGCCCAGGTCCTCGCCAAGCGTGTCGCTGAGGCCAAGGCCACCAAGGCCGATCTCCGCAAGCGGAGGGCCAGCTCTATGCGCAAGTAAAATTGGGGCGTTTGTTAATGGGTCTCGGGTTGCTTTGGGAAAACGGTCACGGCGTGCTTGCTTGACGGCTCATCTAGGGCGTGTACATGGTATAAACACCCACGAATCTCGACAATGAGTTATTGCTTTGAGCGTACAGGGCGCTTAAGCGAGGCCGCGCAAAGAGCTATGCAACACCCACTCCCAAATACTAGCACCTGCTCCCGTGGCGATTGTGTGATTCATAGATGCTTTGCGCAATGATACCAGTTTGACTTGTTTTGCCAACCGAATCCTTGTTTGACCTTACTATGCTTGTTGTTTGGCTATTGGCTGTGAGGTGAGTTGCTGCCTGCACAAAGAGCTAAGAGCGGCGTCGATCCTTTGGCTTCGATTTAGTTGCTTCGTACACAGTAAGATCCATTCGCAACCTTGCACAAGTGGACTCCGTTGGGTTTCAGCTTGTGTCTTGAATAACGACGAGACAGAGTACGAACGCGATCAAGCTTCCATACGTGCATAACTTGAATGCCTCCACGTTTGCATCACGAATGATGATTGTATTTTGATAATTACGATGACGATGTGGAGCATGAGGGTCCACTTCCACCTCATCTGTTAACGGTCAGTGTAATCTGTAAGCGTCATGGCTCTTGCTGACGAGCACCCCAGGTCTTCTTGTCGAGGTGGCCATGCCAGCGAATCCGTATACCGGGGCCCGAGCCTCGGGGCCCGGGATCTGTGTCGCCCTCTTCTCGGATTCTACATCTAGATACTTATCGTTCATTGATGTTTGAGTGGCTGGTTTGAGAACCGTTCTTAGTGGCTCGTTTTTGGCGTCCACACCTTTGCTCAGCCTCTTCCCGGTTGTTGCGGACGGCGCTGCAGCACCCTGGGTGGTCTTTGGCTGTTGGTTGCGTGAGGGGAACCCCTCCTTGGCTGAGGTGGGGGTTTGAACAAGAGGTACGAAAGACTGTGGCGGCTGGGTGTCAGCCCTCTTGAGCTTGGGTGCCCGGTTGTTCAAATTGAGACAAATGACAACAATAGCGATTATTCGGTGGATTGCTCGTTTGCATTAGCATAGAAAACGAACATAGAGATAGGTCGCCGGCGTAGGGAGAAAGCACCCGTTAATAGCATTTGCCCCACATTGGGACAGCCAGGCTTTGGCGGCACTTGCCGTACCCAAACTTTTTTGGTGGTGTTTGGTACCTGACCAGCTGCTGCCGTCATTGCAACTCTCACCTTCGCCGAAAAAGGCCCTCCACTTGCTTTCTCACCACAAACCCGAACTTTGTTACCAACTGCCACTTTTCGGTGTAATTCTCGACAGCGACATCGAATGCGATCTAGGTCATCGCGGATTTTGGCCACATCACAGCAACAAGCTCCGCTCCATTTCCCAAATCATCCCAAGGCGACCTGCACTCGTCTGCGAGCTGTATTTGGGCTTTGGAGAGCTTCGCCGCCGCCTGCCGAATCCCGTCGAACCAACCCCAACACATACTTGCAGTCGCCTTTACATATTGCAAAACGACCCCGCAATCGATTGCCTACCGCTTTCTCTTCGACAGCTGGCTGTTGCCGCTTTTTCGACCACAACATTCTAATCGAGCACTACCATCCCCGCACTTTGGCGGCTCTTACGTAGGAGGGTCACTGTCCGTTCACCGGATCTGTGGGTAGTGGAGGGGGAGCGTCTACTTTCTTCAGCCCTCGCGGCTCAGCCGCTTCGTCAAGATGGGTAAAATCACCAAGACGATGCAATCCAAGCACCGGGAGAACCTCGTGAGCAGCCATCCCCACACCATTCCCTTTCCATCTGTAGTGCTAATCCCAGCTTAGTCTCCTTGGGTCAAGGACTATGTTCTCGCTGCAGCTTCTACTCCGTTGCCGCTCATTCCCGGAAAGCTTGACGAATTTCCGACGAGATGGCCGTTCCCACGTGGCGATTTGTATCACTGGATTCCTCTCCTCAACCGGTTCGACAGCGTTCTCGAGGCGTATTGCGCCACATACAAACTACATGAAGGGTTTCAGATGCGGGATGTTGCGTGCGATCTACTCTTGAACAAGGGTGCGCCGGTGGAATACGCGGATGAGCAAGCCTATAGCAAAGAGCGCCTGGTGCAGCTGGGATACAAGGAGGACGGAGACCGCCAGCTCGTGATTTCGATCCTCACCTTCACCAAGGTGCTCTTGCAGCACTGCGGCAACCGGAGCATATATGCCAGCAGTCCGCACTTGAACGACCTTCTTAATGCGACCGACCTTACCATCGTCTACGCGACCCTTGAGGTTGGCCTAGAGCTTGCGCAACGCTACCAGGCTTCGATCAAGCGCGTGGGCACGCCGAATCGGCAAGTGAGCAGCGCCTTGCTCGCGAACCATTATAACATTGATCTCGAAAGGGTGCAATATCTTGCTCAGCCTTTTGTCAAAACCCCGGTCTCACCAGGTCCTCGGCTCCCGGACCTTCCGCCCACGACCCCAGGTTCGGCAAGCAAGGGCAAAGAGAAGGCGTCCACCACGAGCCATCGAAATGCAGCATCGGTGTATGCCAACGACCTCAACGCGATCTTCGCTCCTTGCTCAGCCGACGATGAGCGTTGGACTGGTTGGGGGGATGTCAAGGTCATTTACTATCCGAAGGCGGAGCCCTCTAGCGCCGTCGCTCCGGAATCTCAGGCTGAGGGTGGTTCGTCTTCGTCGGTCCCGGCAACGCCCACTCCACTCCGGCGTAGCTCGACCAGCATCTCTCAGACCCCGCGCTCGAGGGGCATCCCTGCCGCCGAAGATAGCCCCTCAGGTCGGAGCCGTGGACCGAGCGGTGATGGTCACGTTGCTTCGGGTCCCAAGTCGCTCGAGTTGCGCCAGACCACGGTGCAATCGACGCCCATCTATGAGCTCCTCAAACTCTGTCCGACCGACATGCCCAAGGTTGTGCGATACGAGTTTCTCAACCGGTTAAGAATATGCAAAGCGCTTTTGGGGTCGTCCGAGGATCGACAACTGGCCTTGTCCGTCCGTCTGCTCGCCATCACCAACCTTGCATACATCCACCCTGAGACAACGTTCATCGAGAAAGTCCTCAAACAGGATAACGACGAGCCACGCAGGTACCAGCTTGTGTACCAACTCGTCGAATTGGTCCATCCTTCCGTTGATGGAGCCCCCGAAACGCCGCTGCGCCTGCAGGCCATCGCTCTTGCAGCTTTGGAGTCCATCACTGCCATGCCGGTCAAGTATCCGGAGGTTGTAGCAGCGTTGAATGCAAACGTTAACCACGGCATTTTCCTGTATCTCATCAGGAAGGCATTGGCAAGCATGAAGGAGGATGCCGATGAGTTGGATGACGGGAAGGTGACTGATGCCGACCAATGGCGCGGGAGTCTCTTCGCCTTGACTTTGCAAATGGCCATGGCTTCTCGTATAGGACACGAGATGTCCTCCGCCGGGTTGCTCGAAATCATGGTCGACATCCTCAACATCCGATCCAAGACGGCGACCCGCAATTATAGTATGGTTCTTGCGTTTTTGGACACCATCATCTACGGATTCAACGGCGCTTTCACCGTGTTTAGCAATGCCGGCGGTCTTGATGCCATTTCCAACCTCATCATCGACACCGTCGCCCGCTCAAAGGAGCTCGTCGCGGCAGGCCAGGGAATGAAGCCCGAGTTCCACTCCCACACGGTGGACTACCAGATTCCGTTCTATCAGCAACAGGCGCTCAAGTGGCTTCTCAAGTTCATCCACCACATAATGACCAACGCCTTCTCGTTCGGCACAAACATCGACCGACTTTTGAGGAATTTGGTAGACAACTCTGCCCTGTTGGGCAGCCTCCGCGCCATCACTGAGGATATGCATGTCTTCGGCTCTTTGGTCTGGACCAATGCTGCTGGTTTATTGAGCGACTTTATCAACAACGATCCCACTAGCTTCGCTGCCATCTCGGAATCGGGAATGGTCCAGAGCTTCCTCGAGATCCTTACTGGTAAAACTGTCTCGCTGCCCAAGCCTTCAGGAACACCTAAACCCGAGCCCGAGGGGGGGGAGGGTGCATCACCGGCTTATGCTGACGATTCGGTTACCTTGGATGCTGACGAGCGGCCACACCCCCCGACACAGGAGACGCTCGACGCACCTAGGGAACGCCTTGCCCCTGGCATCCTTGCCTCCAACGACGCCATTAGCATCATCCCCTCCATCTTGAACTCCATCTCATTGAATAACTCTGGCAGGAAGATGATTATATCGTGCAATGCCTTCGGGGTCTATCTGGAGATCTTCGAGAGCCCGCAACATGTCCAGGCTTTGTCAGAATCGGACTTGGCCAATGTCGTTGGTGGTAGTTTTGACGAGCTCGCCCGTCACCATCCGGTCTTGCGGCCAGCCATATCCAATGCCATCCTTGATATGGTGGCTCGCGTCCTCCATCTTGCGAAAAACAAGGCCGCTAACGCAGGGTGGGGTGCGAAGGTCTCGGTTGTCGACTCGAGTGGTAAGGTCATTACCGCAGATGACTCTTTGTTGACGGCCGCAGAATCGCCGGTTGTTACAGCCAAAGGAAAGGGGAAGGCTACCGCAGAAGACACCGATGTTGAAATGATTGACGTCGGTCCTGCGCCCGACCAGAACCCTGACTCTGACGTTGGGTCAGAGCCTCAGAAACCCACAGGCCCGTCCCACGAGATCACGCTTTACATCGGCGCCGTTTCGTCATTCCTCAATGCCATTTTCCACAACTCAAGCCTCAAATCATCATTTGTTCGCGATGGCGGTATTGAGCTGCTTTTACAGTTGTCGGAGGTAGCCAGTCTTCCCGGCGATTTTGAGACGACCAGCGCGTCGCGCTCGCTCGCCCACGCACTTGCCGCGGCGATAGAGGCAAACTCGATCCTCGGCCTCCCTTCTCTGCTCAACCGCATCCACGCCGCCATTGATGACCTGGAACCGCTTCTGGGAAAGAAGGGGGCACAGCCCTTCTTTGCGCCCTTCGTCATCGCCAATCTCTCGTTGCAAAATGACAAAGGAGAATGGGACCAGGCCTTGGTCCGTAAAGTGGCCGGCGGCACTCGAGTTGTGAAGGCTTTGGTGAAATTGCAGGTCTTGCTCAGGACTCTCTATCAGAGTTTCCCGTATTCCTCACGGCACGCAACGGTCTCGATGCCGGCGGTCAATGTTTATGACTACTTGATCTCCCTAGTCAACCGCCTCGGACCACTCCTGCGCGATGCTGCCACGGAAGATATGGCCCTCGCTGCCCTCGTCCCGCAGCACTGGCTTGGGAATCGATCGTTTGCTGAGGATACCGTGGAGACGACCCCTTCACTCCCCGCCCCTTCCGCGAATGACGGCGACAAGTCCCAAGACGCCGGTGCCGCTCCCTCGGTGGGCAAGTCAGCAGAGATTTCGGCGTCGCCTAAAGAGCCGACGAAAGAAGAACGTTCGACGACTCGGTTCCAAAACTATTTCGTCATCAGCCGCCTTCTCAATTCCTTACCGCCCAGCACACTTCCATTCTTCCAAACCATTGGGAAAGTCTTGCTCCCCAGGCGAGGGCTCGACAACTACTTCAGATCTCATCACCTGAGCATTGCACAGGCCTTGGCAGAAACGATCCTCGAGCAGTTGAATTTGCCAGAGGAGCAGAAGCTGGCGGTTCGGGACTTGCGATACTGGGATGTCATGTTCGACGCACTACACCAAATGCTGATCGATCCAACGCGCCAGCCGGATCGCACATCCGTCCAGCTGGTCTTGCCTGTTTTGGTGGCGTTCAAGGACCGCGGTGGTATAGAGCTGATGAATATAATGCTTCAGAGATTCGCTGATGAACTGTGCAACGAGGGGCCTGATACCAAGGACGCTCAAAAGCTACAATTGATCACGACTGGAATGAAAAAGATACTCGATATCTACCACGTTATTGCTAACGGCAAGAACGTCTACGAGTCTCTCGGACAAGCCAGCTTGTTCCCCCGGTCCTCGGACAGGAGTAGAGACTTGGGGCACCAGCTCGTCGTGGAGTTGAGGTTGGCCATTTTCCCGATCGCCCAAAAGCTCTGGGAGTCAGACTTTGCCGAGAAGGCCCCGGCGCCAACTCTAAGCAAAATCATTGATATCATCAAGACCATTACAGTTGCCGACCAGGAGGCAAATGCATGGCGCAAAACGGACAAGAACTCGCCGATTTCTTTGTTCAAGAACCGCGAGCTTGTCCGGTTCAACTGGGCTGCGCACCTCGGCCATATCAGGGAGCTGACCCAGTCGGGGTACGATGAAGAGCTGGCTCGCGAAGCAGTCTATCGCGCGAACGGAAAAACCGATTACTCGGCAGAGTATTGCCGCGGCCACTCTAAGGATCTAGCCGGGAAGCGTAACCCCATACCTGAGCAGGATGCCTACCAGAGCCCGCCGTCGCCGCAATCACAAGAGTCCTCCAAGGAGGCCACGGCTGCGCCTCCGGCCAACGCCCCGGTCGTGGATCCCATGTCCTTGGACTCGGTGAATGATTTCATTCAAAATGCGATTGGTGAAGCCGAGGAACTTTCCTCCGATGAGTCTCAAGATGACAGCCAAGATGACTCCAGTCAACAGTCGGCGAACCAAGAAGTACCTGGTCCTTCCTCAATCCCAGCGCATGACCCTGCCGCCCCATCGAGTTCGTCTGCAGCATCTTCCACACCGCCCACCGTCACGAAGGACGACCTCGACCGGATGAGAGCCGAGATGCAAAATGACTCGATCGGCCGCTGCCTGGATGTTATCAGGGCTCATCCGGACTTGGTTTTCGAGGTTTGTGGCTTTATACAAGCCGTCGTCCTTAAGTCGGACAACGAAGAAAAGGAGATTGAGGTTGGCGAGGTCCTTGCGAATGCTCTCATGTCGTTCGCGCCGAATGATGAGGAAGAAAAGCGGGCAAACGGCCGTGGGATTGCAGCGTTTGCCCACCTACTGTCACTCCTCCTCCAGGCCCGGTCATTCTTCAAGGCTACTCTCCCAACCTTGAAGCAGAACATCGGGGAGTACCTTGGATTTTTGAAGGTTTCACCCACCGCGTCCCAGGAGGAACTCCCGTCGTGGATTCCGTACATACTTCTTATCTTCGAAATCCTCCTCTCGGACGACGAACAGCCGGTCGAGGTCGAATGGAAAATGCCAACCAAAGAGGACGATGCCGTCGAGCCTCCAGTGTGGGTGGCCAAGGATCTCAGCATGTCAAGTGAGGACCGTTCCAACCTGTTGACCACAATTTTGGACATTCTTCCAAGAGTTGGCAAAGAAGAAGCTCTCGCAGTTTCTGTCCTTAGGATCCTTGTGATCCTTACCAGAGACCACGCGACAGCAAAAGTCATGGGCGAGAAGCGAAATCTTCAGCGGTTGTTCGTTATGGCGAAGCAGTCTTGTAGTGGAGGTTCGGCTCGTCTAAACCAAGCGCACATCACCAACAACATTCTGATCATTCTTCGTCATATCGTGGAGGATGAAGATATGGGTCCGCTTGATGATGGAAACTGAGATCAAGCAATACCTGTCTTCGGCTAGGAACCCTCGCGCTTATCACGACCTTCAGAGCTACCTGAGGTACCTTTCCCATGTGGCGCTCCGCTCACCGAAGCTCTTCGTCGATGTTACGACAGACCTCGTGAAGCTAAATAGCGGATCAACGATGTTTGACCCCGCCGTTCGCACTCACAGCTTGTCCCTCAAGGATAAAGTTGCTGATCAAGAGACCACCGCAAAGGAAGGATCTGTCGGGCCTGCCGTGCAAGCGACCGAAGGTCTAACCATCGACGATGTCAAGCCATCAACAGAATCCGCAGATAAGGATATGACAGACGTACCAAAGACCCCCTTTGAGTTGAAACGCCCTGTTCTCGAGAACCCCGACGGGGTGATTCATTTCTTGCTCTGCGAGCTTCTGAACTATCGGGAGGTTGACGACAAGGAGCCGGCAAGCCAACCTTCGAAAGACTCTCCGGCGGAAGGCGAATCCTCGAGTGCAAGCGGGGAGGCAACACCCTCCCCTGACCAGCAGACTCCTGAGCAGAAAGATAAAGACAAGAAAGCCCTCAAGCCAGCTTTCAAGGCAGAGGACCACCCGATTTTCGTCTACCGTTGCTTCTTGCTCAACTGCTTGGCGGAGCTCTTGCAGAGCTTCAATCGTACAAAGGTTGAGTTCATCAACTTCAAGCGAAGCGTACCGATTCAGACGAACACGCCCATCAAGCCTCGTTCAAGCGTCTTGAACTACCTTCTCAACGATCTCCTCTGCCTCGGGCCCGCCGGTATTCCGTTGGACTCGACCATCATCAAGAAGAAGGCCGCTACATCGACTCACGCTCAGGCAGTGCTCGTGGCGTTGGTTTCCCGAACACCCGAAAAGCCCATCGACCGCAACCGCAATCATTTTGAGTACGACGAGGACTCAGACCTTTTGTTTGTTCGCCGCTTTGTTCTTGAGACGGTTCTTCGCGCGTACAAGGAAGCCACTACTCCAGGGGACCCGATCGAAGTGCGCTATGGCAAGATGATGTGCGCTGCTGAACTGATGAGCTTGATGATTGGCGAGAAGGAGAAGGAGAATCAACCCAGAGATGCCCGCGCAACGGATCCAGCTCTCACCCGATCCCAGATGCAGCTCAAGCGCCTCATGTACGAAAAGGGGTACCTCTCCACCTTGACTGCATCTATCGCCGACATTGACCTCACATTCCCCAACGTCAAGCGCACCATCAAGTACATCCTGCGTGTGCTTCGGGCCCTGACAAAGACAGCATACCAGCTGAGTCAGTCAGACGTCATCCCCATGGCCACGACTGATCAACCCGAGGAGGACTTTGCGTCGACGTCATCTCTCTCCGATCTGGATGACGACCGTGAGGAGACCCCCGATCTCTACCGCAACTCCACGCTCGGTATCCTCGAGCCTGGACGCGAGGAGGATTTCTCCGACGAGGACGAGGACGGTATGTTTCAAAACTATGATCATACCTCTTTGCCGTTGCTAATTTTTGCAGACGACGATGCCATGTACGACGACGAGCATTATGACGATGAGATGGAGTATGGCGAGGAGATGTCCCAGGATGATGAAGAAAATCCTAGCGACGACGATGATGACGAGCTTGGCGGGATGGGCCCTATGGAAGGCCTCCCCGGTGATCCTGGTGTCGTGGAAGTGATCATGGGTGAAAACGAAGACATGGACGACGACATGGATGAAGACATGGACGAGGATGACGACGAAGAACCCAGCGATGAAGACGATGAAGATGACGACGATGAGGACGAGATGGGCTCCGAGGATATGTTGGAGATGGAAGACCGCATTGAAATCATCGACGAGGAAGGAAATCCCATGGATGATGAGGGGGCATCTGGCTGGGAGAGTGATACTGACGAGGACGACGACGAAGGTGAACAGGACCTCGGATTCGAACCGGGCGCAGCACATGACATCCATGATGCATTCCTGCATGGTCACGGACTCGAACAGCTCAGCCGTATCCCTGATATTCTCCGAAACGTCGTTGACGGCGGCGATGATCTCGACGCCGAGGATATGCAGGATCTTGAAGAACACTTCCTTGATGAGGATCGCGAAGGTGAGCATCTCCTTGATGAGGATCGTGGAGGGGGTGATGGTAGGTCCCCGCCCCCACACGCTTGTTTTGCGCAATCAACTAACTGGGTAAGACGAGGAAGAAGAAGATGAAGGCGAGGAGGATGAAGTCTATTACGACCCGAATCATCATCGTAAGTGCATTTTCAGTATATCTCCGCCCTCGAACGTCGAATCTGACGCGAGTTAGACGATGACCACCCACCTCCCAACATGCCCTCGGGGCTCGGCTGGGATATTTCTCAGATTGAGCCTCATCACCGCCTTCGGCATGGTGGTGCCCGGAGTCCTTTCCCTACTGCTCCGTTCATGGGAGGACACCGCGACCCCCTGGGACCTGGTACGTCTGGCGAGGCCTTTCGCCGACAAGGTCGGCGGAGGGTGTTTAGTCTGGAGGAGGACTTCAACCGAGATCCAGACGCTTTTATAACTGGCTTGATGTCGGTACTCGGTCAGTATGCTAATAATACACTGTCAGACTTCCGCAGCTACTTCCGCAACAGCCACCACCGGCCGCCGCCGAACCCGACAGACGATGGCGTCAACCCATTGTTGCTCTCTGGCAACCGAACTGGGCAGGATGCACCTCGGGGCGCCAGCCAACATATGATACGGCTCGGCTTCCCAGGGACTCTGGTTGGACATGGCATTGACGCACCTCTCGCTTTTATTAACGATTTGATGCAGAGTATCCCATTCCCCGCCCGTGGTGGCCCTACTTTCAGCCTCCAGCTGAGATCCGAAGGCCCGGCTGGCGAAGTTCGGCAGTTAAACATTCCGGTAAACATGGCACAGTCAGGGCGGGAGCCCCGATGGGACCAGCGCCGCGAAGTGTACCAGGAGCCTCACCATGCCGTCACTTTCTCCCCCGAGTCCACAGCCGAACGGTGGCAGGAGGAAGCCAAGATGATTTTTGGCTTCAACCACAATGAAAAGTCCAAGCTACTTTCCACCGCAATCCTAGGGATGCTTACTCCGGCCGTCATACAACGTGAGAAGGAAGCAAAGGCGCGGCAGGAGGAGAAGCGCAAGCAGGAAGAGGAACGCAAGAAGCGCGAGGAAGAGGAGCGCAAGGAGCGAGAGGCCAAGGAAGCCGAGGAGAAAGCCGAGAGGGAGAAGAAGGAGGCCGAAGAGCGTGCTCGGGAGGAACGGGAGCGAGCCGAGGCCGAAGCTGCACTCGCAGCGGAAGAGGAAAACGCCGTTGCGGAGGCCGCCGTCGAGGAGCCCCAGGCTATGGAAGGGGTCGAGTCTCACACAGAGCTCCAGGAGGCCGAACTGCAACCGATTCCGGTGGCGGAACGTGTCGTCACCACTATCCGCGGCGAAACCGTGGATGTTACGGAACTCGGCATCGACCCTGAATATCTTGCAGCGCTACCGGAAGAATTCAGGGAAGAAGTCATTGCCCAGACAGTCAGCTCCCGGCGCTCTCTGGCTAGAGAGCAAGCGGCCAGCGAGGGAGAGAATACCGAAGTTTTCCAAGAGTTCCTCGAGGCACTACCGGCGGAACTTCGTATGGAGATTGTTCAGCAGGAACGCCAGGAACGCCGTCGCCGCGACCGTGAGGACCAACGGAGAGAGGCCACGGCTACTGGCCAGGACCTTGGGCCCGTGGAGATGGATACGGCTAGCATCTTGTTAACCTTCCCGCCTGCTCTTCGAGAACAGGTTCTACTAGAACAAGGCGAAGACATCATGGACCAACTGCCGCCCGAGCTCGCCGCCGAGGCTCGTGCCATTGCTCAGCGACATAATATACATCGCGTCCCGCCCGCAGGGGCCCGTCCCCGGGAAGCTGCGCGTCGTCCCGATGCGGTCGTCGAAACGAAGCCACAGCGGCGTACCATCGTGCAGATGCTCGACAAAGCGGGCGTTGCCACACTTCTCCGGCTCATGTTCATTACCCAGCAGAGCTCCATTCGAAACTACCTTTTCGATGTTTTTGCGCACGTTTGCGAGAATCGCCAGAACCGTTTAGAGGTTATCTCTACCCTCCTTCAGATCCTCCAGGACGGCAGCACCGATATGGACGCCGTCGAACGCAGTTTCGGCCAACTATCTCTGAAGGCGAAACAACCCAAGGACAAGGACCCCAAGACCCCCCAGAGCCTCAAACGGACATTCACCAACACAGCCCCAAGCAACCAAATGTCTGGCAATTCAGAGGTCTCCCCGCTGTTGATCGTCCAACAATGCCTTGACCTTTTGCAGGAGCTCGCGACCAAAAACCCCCATGTTCCGTCCCTGTTCCTGACGGAGCACGAAACTGTCGCTTCGACTCTCAAACGGAGCACGAGCCGCAAGGGCAAGGGCAAAGACGTCAATGCTAAGGCCCAGAAGTACGCCATCAACTCACTCCTGGGCCTCCTTGATCGAGATCTCATCATGGAGAGCTCATCGGTCATGCAACTTCTCGCGGATTTGCTCAACAAGGTTACGTATCCGCTGCAGGCTCTCGAGCGGCGGCGTAAGGAGGCTGAAGAGGAATCCAAGAAAAAGGCCGAAAAGAAGGCCGAGGAGAAACCCGAGGAGAAATCAGAAGAGAAGCCTGAGGCGAGCGCTGAAGCTGCTCAACCTTCCGAAGAGCAAGCGTCTACGGCGCAGGGTGCAGAGCCATCCGCCGTGACCTCAACGGAAGAACAAACAACGGCCGACAACAAGGAGCAGCCCGAAGCGGAAAGCTCGGCGACCAAGGAACCCAAGGTTGAAGAGAAGAAGGTCCGGCAGCTCACTCCGCCCACGATCCCCGATCACAACCTGAAGATGGTTATCAATGTCTTTGTTGCACGGGAATGCAGCTCCAAGACCTTCCAAAACACCATTTCGACCATCAAGAATCTCTCCAACATCCCGGGTGCTAAGAAGGTGTTTGGCGGAGAGCTCGTCGCCCAGGCTCGGATCTTGAGCGAGAATATTGTATCCGACCTTGAGGATCTGCTTCCGCATATTCTCCGGGCGGAGTCGGGAACCGAGATTCAAGGAATTGCCCTCGCCAAGTTCTCACCTGGCGCATCGGAGCAAAACAAGCTGTTGCGTGTCCTGACTGCGCTGGATCACCTGTTTGATACCAAGGGCAAGAAATCAAACAGCGGTGCAGAAGGCAGCGAGGCTACGGACGAGACTAAGGAGGATCTTCTCGGCTCGCTCTACTGGAACCCAACGTTCGGGACCATGTGGGACAAATTGAGTGCTTGCCTTGGCGCGATTCGTCAGCGGGAGAGCATGCTGAACGTAGCAACGATCCTATTGCCGCTAATCGAGTCTCTGATGGTGGTCTGCAAGAACACGACGCTAAACGAGGCGTCTACCTCCCAGGCCGCGGCCGCGAAGGAGATGCTGTTGACTAGCCCGCCGCCGGACAACCGCATTGCAAGCTTGTTCTTCACGTTTACGGAAGACCATCGGCGTATCCTCAACGAGCTTGTGCGGCAGAACCCCAAGCTCATGTCGGGAACGTTCTCTCTTCTCGTCAAGAACCCCAAGGTGCTCGAGTTCGACAACAAGCGGAACTACTTCAACCGAAGCGTGCATGCGAAGACCGGCCAGCAGCAGAGGCCGCAGTACCAGCCATTGCAATTGTCGGTGCGCCGCGACCAAGTTTTCCACGACTCGTTCAAGTCGCTCTACTTCAAGTCAGGCCCGGAGATGAAGTTCGGCAAGCTCAACATCCGCTTCCACGGCGAGGAAGGCGTCGATGCTGGTGGTGTCACACGCGAATGGTTCCAGGTGCTCGCCCGCCAGATGTTCGACCCCAACTATGCACTTTTCATCCCGGTATCTTCTGACCGCACCACATTCCACCCGAACAAGCTCAGTGGCATCAACGATGAGCATTTGATGTTCTTCAAGTTCATCGGACGGATCATCGGCAAGGCTCTGTACGAGGGCCGGCTCCTTGATTGTTACTTCAGCCGTGCGGTCTACAAACGCATCCTCGGCAAGCCAGTGTCGGTCAAGGACATGGAGTCGTTCGATCCAGACTACTACAAGTCTCTTGTTTGGATGCTCGAGAACGACATTACCGACATCATTGTCGAGACCTTTTCGGTGGAGGATGACGAGTTCGGCGTGACCAAGGTCGTGGATCTCATTGAAAATGGCCGCAATATCCCGGTCACGGAGGACAACAAGCACGAATATGTGCGCCTCATCGTGGAGCACAAACTGCTCTCCTCGGTTAAGGAGCAGATGGAGAACTTCCTGAAGGGTAAGTTTACGCTCTACAGGCTGCTGTTGGTTGATGCGGTATAGCTAATACGTGTATGTTTAGGGTTCCATGATATCATCCCTGAGGATCTCATCGCCATCTTCACCGAGCAGGAGCTAGAGCTGCTTATTTCTGGCTTGCCGGACATCGACGTCGACGACTGGAAGAGCAACACCGAGTACCACAACTACACGGCGGCCTCCCAGCAAATCCAGTGGTTCTGGCGGGGCGGTGCGCTCATTTGACAAGGAAGAGAGGGCAAAGCTCCTGCAGTTCGTCACGGGAACATCCAAGGTGCCTTTGAACGGCTTCAAAGAGCTGGAAGGTATGAACGGCGTCAACCGGTTCAACATCCACCGCGACTACGGCAACAAAGAGCGCCTACCCAGCTCCCATACTTGCTTCAACCGTAAGTCTTCGTACTCAAGTTCCTTGCGTAACTATTTGCTGACTCCATCTCATAGAACTCGATCTTCCCGAGTATGAAAGCTACGACATTCTGCGAAGCCAACTGCTCAAAGCCATCACCGCTGGCAATGACTACTTTGGCTTCGCCTAAAAAAAGACCACTACCTCACATGACTGTGGAAGGCAAGGGTGGAGGTGATGGAGGTGATGTGATCGCAGGGAGGCAGGGAAGCAGGGCATAAATTGCCCGACCTGTCAGGTGCGGCATTGGTGTTTGAGGTTGAACTTTGATTGCATTTGCAGGTGGACAGGCGGAAGAAGTGTCAGCAAACTGCCATTGCGTTTGCGGATTGTAGAGTTGGTCATTGTATGTCTTTTTAACTTTTTCATTGCTGGCTGATTCTCAGCATGGCCTAGCGGTTGGGGGAAGCGGAGTGCAGGCCGTCTTCCTCCGTGCGGCTACTTGGTCGAGCTGAGACATCCGAGCAGATAGATGATCCTGGACGCCTTTTTATTAAAGGCGGAGCGCAGATATGGCAATGGATTAGTTTTATTACTTGTGGTTAATACTGTGAAGTGAATCGATTTTCTCCTCGACTGCTCTAGATTTGGAAAAAAAAATAGGACAGGAGTTTAGGAGATGACATCGACCTCGCTGTTTGGCTGTCTTGGGCGTGTTGGTTAAGGGAGTGCAGTTGCATGCATGTCTTGGCAGGAATAACCCCTCTGCATACCCACCTGGTCTGTGCGCAGATCCCGTCCGTAGGGCTCGGCACCGGCAACGGCCCAACTTGCCGCCGAAAAGTTTCGCCCACATTTTCAAAATCCATCACGAACCTCGATCCCGCCCACCTTCGCACAACCGCTCGACCAACGACCAGCGAGGTAAGTCACTATCCAGGTTCGCATTACCCTCCTCAACGCATCGAAGCCTACACTTGAGATTGCGAATTTGTGAAAGTCGGTTCCGTACCAAATTTTGCCAATCCACGAAATCTCCCAGCGCGATCGCACGCCAACATCTCAACAACTTTTTGACTAACTCGACCCTCCTTCAACAGACACAGTCAAGATGGGTATCTCTCGTGATTCTCGGCACAAGCGCGCCGCTACCGGTGCCAAGCGATCGCAAGTTTCCCTCCCTATCTTCCCTACCCCCGTCTCTGATCGGTGGTGGCTAACCTTGGCTTTGCTGCAGTTACTACCGTATGTCATGATCTCCTCCTACCGTTCCGCGAATACTATACACAAGCCCTTCGACACGAAGGGCACTCGAAGGTCCGCTTGGGAGGTTTCTGTGGGGGTTTGCCTGCCTTTTGAAGGGGTAGGCAGACTGCCACAGGGACCCAACCCATTGCGTTCTGAGCCTGTTCAACGCACATAGAAATGAACGAAATTTCTGACAACTGCGTACAGGGAAGAAGAGAGCCTTCGAGGCGGGCCGTCAGCCTGCGAACACCCGTATCGGTGCCAAGCGCATTCACACCGTCCGTACCCGCGGCGGTAACCACAAGTACCGTGCGCTCCGTCTCGACTCGGGCAACTTCGCCTGGGCCTCGGAGGGATGCACCCGCAAGACTCGTGTCATTGGTGTGGCTTGTACGTTTGCCCCAAGATGGTTGCTCGGGGAACTCAAACTAAATTTTGATATCCAGACCACCCCTCTAACAACGAGCTTGTCCGCACGAACACCCTGACCAAGTCCGCCGTCATCCAGGTCGACGCTGCGCCCTTCCGTCAGTGGTACGAGGCCCACTACGGCCAGCCCCTTGGTCGCCGTCGCCAGCAGAAGCAGGGCCAGGCTGTCGAGGAGGTCAAGAAGAGCAAGTCCGTCGAGGCTAAGCAGGCTGCCCGCTTCGCCGCCTCTGGCAAGGTCGACTCCGCTATCGAGAAGCAGTTCGAGGCCGGTCGTCTTTACGCCGTCGTCTCGAGCCGCCCCGGCCAGTCCGGCCGTTGCGATGGCTACATCCTGGAGGGCGAGGAGCTCGCCTTCTACCAGCGCAAGCTCCACAAGTAAGCGCTGGGCGGAGGAGGGAAGAGTATGATGGAGAATGGGAGGAACAAGTCTGGATGCGGGGGCTAGCATCGGCGTTTCGCCAGGTGTTGATGGGTCATTTCTGGGATGTAAAAGGCGATCACAGCAACGTCATTTCCAGTTGTTTCGTCACCGGTAACAGGGCATGGCAGGGATATAGGGCAATGGAAAATGAATACCCCCACCATAAGCAGCCCTCGCAGAGTCAATCGATCCAGGCTTGATTATCTTGATGCCCTCATGTTTTGTGACGTGTTTTTGCTTCTTCGAATCTTTGGGAAAATCCAGAATTAAGCAAACTTAGCAGCAACGTTGCCTGTGAAATCCCCAACAATAAGCCGGTATCGTGACGACCTTGTGTGTGGTTGCTTCCAGCATCCAGCAGGAGTATCAATTGTAGTAGCAGTAGCAGTAGCAGTATGAACCATGATAAATGCTTTCCTATCCATCCGTTCCCACCGCCATCCATGCGATCCCGGTTGTTGTTTTTTTGGCATCTCTACTCCGTCTCCCATGCTCCCCTCCATGCACACACAGCTATCGTATACACCTGAACTGATTTCTTTCTTTCCCTCTATCTCGTTTGTTTCGCCACGCCCCCCATCAACTGATCCGCGTCGTTCCTTTCCTTTCCCTGGCCACTCGAAAATCGGCGACTACACGCACACGCATTCCGGCGCGTCGGCATGGGAGGGCCGCCCGCGCAAAGGGCGGCGTGGCGTGTGTGTGTGTGTGTGTGTGTGTATTGTCGCGGCGTTGTGTGGTCCCTCTCCCGGGCGAGCATGATTGGACACGCGCTGTCGTGTTGTTGTTGGCTTTGTTCTTTGCCGCGCGGGCCAGGGCTCATTGGATGTGCTTCTTGAGATCGGTCCATTTCCTGGTCAGTGCCTCGTGTTGCGAGTTGGTCTGTTTCCAATGGGTTAGTTAGCTTTCTTTGTTTTGTGTAAATAGGTAAGTGAAGGGGGGGAGGGGGGAGCGTACCTCGGCATACCGCATCTTGGTCTGGACCAGTTCCTCCTCAAGCTCCGACATCTCCTTCTCGAGCTTCTGGTTCTCCTCATGGACCTTGGCATTGCGCTTCATGAGGTCGTCGCGCTCGAGCTGCCAGGCGGACTCAAGCTCGGCGGGCTGCTTCTCGATGACGATGCGCAGCTCCTTGACCTGGATCTTGAGCGACTCGTTCTCGTCGCGCAACTCGTCGTTGTCGACCTTGGTGTGCACCAGCTCGGTGGCCAGGGACGCCTGCTCGGCGTCGACGTCCTGCAGGCGCGCCTCGAGCTTGCGCATGCGGATCGCATAGCTGGCGTTGCTCGCGCGCAGGGCCTCGAGCTCGGCCTCGCGCTCCCGCTCCGCCCGCGTCTTCTCCTCCCACTCGACCTGGTACGCCTTGAGCATGTCAGGCGTGATCTTGACCTCGCAGGCGTCGCGCACGAGCTGGTCCGCGCGGTAGACCTCCTTGTCGATGCTGCTGGAGGAGCTGCCGAAGAAGCCGTTCTCGAGGATGGAGGTGGAGGAGGGCGAAGCGTCGATGTAGACGTCGAAGAGGCGGTCTTTGAGGAAGGTGGTGAGCTGGGCCATGTCGGTGATGGCGAGGAGTGCGGTGGCGTTCTTTTGCATGAGGACGGTGCCGAACTTGAGGATGGCGGACAGGCCTTCGGAGAGGATCAGGTCGTAGATGCGCAGGACGAGTTGCAGTGGGAAGCGGTACGCGAAGAGGGTAAGGAACCATTGTGTGGCGTAGAGATGGGGAGAGATGCCACGGCGCCGGAGGTGGCAGTAAAGCGCTGGCTCGAGATCCTCGAGGAGGCGCTCGAATTGGTAGAGGTGGAGGTGGAGGCCAGGCATGTCCTGGACGAAAAGATCCCGGAGATGGTACTGGTTCATTAGCCGTACCAGCAAGCAGAAGGCTTCCTCTTCCGGCATCTGTGAGATGTTAGCAATTATTCCCTCAAGACTCGAGAATACTAAAACTCACGTTGAAAAGAATGGGCATGACGAGGAAGTTCATGCCCTGGGCATAGCCGACGGCGTCATCAAACAGCGCGTATGCCTTGCAGACGCCAAACAGGCCCTCCTGAAGCCCTTGGGCTGCGGCAAACTTGGAATAACTCGTTCTTGCCCCGAGATCTCTCCTGATGGTCTTCTCGAGCTTTTGGAGCGCGGCTAAGTCCTCCTTCTCCTTCTTCTGACGCTCAGCGGCAGAAACAGGCTGTGCCTTCTTCCCGGAGTCCGAGTCCTTCTCTGTTGGCGATGGTGCACCGTTCGAAGCCGAGTTCTCCGAGTGGACCGACGACGCAGACGAAGTCGACCCCTTGCCGCTGCCACTGAGGGTGGCGCTTATTGTCGTGCCGCTGCTCTGCCTATCCTTGTCCTTCTTCTCCTTCTCGGTGCCTCTGATGACAAGGTCGCGATAGACGGCTTCCAACTCCTCGTTCTTGCTCTGGGCCAGAACCTGCCAGATGACGCCGCGGATAGCGCTCGGGATCCCGGTGGCGATGGCCTTGTTTAGCTCCTCCGCACTCGTCCGAGCCACGGCAGCCGGGCCTTCGTTGACCACGTCCTGCCATAGGTCCCAATCCACGTCTACATCAACGAAGGATGATGGCCCGGCCGTGACACCCGAAACAGTTCCAGGGGCGAGGTTCTTGTTTGGGCTCTGCGGCAACGGGGACGGGGGCGGTGGCCCTGCGGTGCCATTCTCCACGGCATCGCCGGCGACCGTCAAAGTCTCGTCTTCTTCGGCCGGGGGGACGATCTCTTGTCTCATGCGGAGTGCCTTGAAACGATCCTTTAGGCTATTACGCGAGCTGTCCGCTCCGTCTTTCTCCTCCTCCAGTTTGCTCAGCATCATCTCGGGATTGCTAGTCATGGTGGCCACTGAGCTAGCTGTATTCCTTCTGGCAGACGGGATAGGCTGCACAGCGGGGGGTTCTTTGGAGGAGCTTCGTGAAAGCCACGAAAACGGACTGTTGAATTTCCTACCCGTGGGTGCTGGGGCCGGAGCGGGGGCAGGAGCCGCGGCAGGGACGGGTGGAGGCGGAGCTGCTACTGCTGCTGCCGCCGCCGGTGGGCTCTTTGACTGGGAATCGGTAGCGGGCGGTGACCACGGCATTGGCGGCAGGGCGTTGGTTAGGCTGCTGAAGGACATGGTTTTGGGGGCTTTCTCTGTCGGCTGGCTCTTTTCTAGGCGGATGTCAGTGTCATGCTAGAAGGTGCAGGCGTCCATGTCTGCGCAACATACCTTGTTGAGTCGGCGCCGTCGTCGTCGCTGTCGCCGTGTCGTCGTCGAGGTTTACATTATCGAGGGAGCCGGCGGACTCTTGCGAAAGAGGGCGCGGGATCTTCTTCTCTGTCGGCAGTTCTTGCGAGTCGGGCCTCCCGTTCGCTGCGGCGGTCTGTGACGCCTCGTCCTCGTAGTCAGAGTCGGCCGGGTCCTCGGCGACGGATGGGGGTTTAGCGGGCGGTTGGCGTTTGGTCAACGATCGGAGAGATCCAGTCTCGACGGCGTCCTCAAAAGTTTCCTGTAGAGTGACGTTGCACAATCAGTATCATGCGTGTAGCCGAAAGTGGCTTTTGTCGGCACCACACATCTCCCAAGTGCGTGCGTCCATGGACAGGGTAGAACTGCACATACCGTGTCCTTGTCAGAGTCATCCCTCGAGAATGGCCTCTGTTGTTCCTCTGTTTCCTTCTCCTCTACCGGCTTTTCATCCATGTCCGGTGTGTTCTGTGTATCCTCGGCCTTGTTGGTCTCCTCTGCCTCCTGGGCCTCGAGCACCTCCTTCTTGACTGTCTCTTCGTTGGCAGACATGATTACGTGGGTGTCAGAGGCCTCTCTCACGCCCTCGCTGTCGCCGCTTAGAAATACCAAATCGATGACCGGCGGGGCAGGTGTTAGTTGTTGGAATGCTCAGGCGCAAGGTCGTGTGCCCATGGAATTTAGGCGATGGGCGGTGGGGGAAGATGCTCGCAGCGCAACGCGAATTGCTCCGAGGGCGACGGATCGGCACAGGGATACGGTGCTTCGTGGTGCTATCGTCTACCTACGCAGTAGGAAAACGTCGGGTTAGGGTCGTCCAAATCGTGGAATATCGGTGTGGACGTGCGTTCTTGCAAACCTGTTGCGTGTCGTTTCGTTTCGTTCCCTTTTCTACTCAAGGTTCCGCTAATAAATCCAGGGGGGACAACAGAAGGGAAGTGGACAAAAGTGGGCGAGTCAGCCCCTCGATGGGCCCAGAGACAGGGGTCCCCTTTGTATGTGCGGGACATGCAATTACAGGAACGGTACGTTGGGCTCGAGTCACCATGGCACAATCCTGCTCCTATTTTAACGAATTACTCTCTGCACAAAGGACGACGTGGCCGAGCCAACACGACTGATGACAATCGAAAATCCAGTTATATCTTTGCTTGTTTGTTGGGCGCACCTTTGACGGTTACAATGACATGCATGAGTACCCTCGACGTCCCCTTACCGCAACTTTTTGAAAGACGTTTTTGCTACGCTAGCCCCAGCGCCATGGCGGAGGAAGCCGTCTTTTATCCCTTTCTTTCTCTTTACCGCCTGTGGCACTGTTATGTTGGTCCAAAATATGGCGTGTCCAACTCAGTCTAGGCAACGATGTGCGACTACCGGCTGCGCACAGTTGGAGATGGCGCCGTTCTGCTGTCAGCGCCTCGCCTTGCCTCGATTTCAACAGGCGCAGTCGCAAGGGAGGCAGCTACAGGTGAGCATCTGAAACGAGTTGTGCAGGGGTCACTGCGGGCCAAGACCCGGGGCTGCTGTCTCCTGCGCTCCTGTTGAACTCCGTGAGCCAATTGCAGTGGGCGCCGGACCAGCTGCAGGGCGTACCGCTGTGCCTCTGCACATCTGCCGCTGATCTTCAACGCCACGCACCGCTTGTCGTCCGATGTTTTCACCTCTCAGCGGTCCCTGCATCTTGTGTTTTCCAGATCATGCTAGGCCAGGCCGAGGCCGGCCCTGCAACTCCAGTTTCCTCAGATTCGAGAATTAAAACCGGCGACCTGGCCAGCCCAAGATTGCGGGACCCAACTCGGGTTACCTAACTATCGAAAACAGGCGAGATTGACAATAACCTCCCGTCTCAGGTTCCCAGCTGTGGCCTGTTGCGTAGCCATGGATCTGTCTTGAATAAGTGTGCTTTAATCGGTTATTCAATTCTTAGGCCTGCATACACAACAAAAACTTGCCGGATGTTCGCATGGCTGTCGAATGGGTTTCACGGCCAACATGAACCAACAACAATAATCATGGGGAGCAACAAATCGATATGCATAATAATAGCACAAACGAGCAGCAGATAAGAGGAGGGGGTTACCGAAACGTCGGGTCCTAACTAGCTCAATTTCGCTACCAGCAACATTGTCTTGCAAGGATATCAAATTTGGCTGAGGCTTGAGTCTTTGCTCGCCCCAAAAGTTGGCCATGATGATATCGAATATCGAGAATGCAGAGAATCGATGAAAGAAAAGGGAAAAAAAATCCTCCCGAAAAAAAGTCCCACGGCGCCTTCTCCTGGATCCTGCTCCTTGGTGTTGATATCGAGAAAGGAGATGTTGGGCCCTGCAGGTCGACCAGTGGCTTTCAGAGACCGCTGTGTCTCTCCTCGTTAAGCGCTTGGTGGTGCCCGACCTTCCAGTTCAAGCCAACCAAGATA